AGTGAGAAAAATTTTTATTAGCTTCAAAATCCACATTTTTTTTTTTTTTTTTTTTTTTTTTTTTTTTTTTTTTTTTTAAACTATAGCTACTTATTTCCTGTCTAGATCCTGTGAAATAAAAACTTAAATAAGCCTTAAAATACTCACAAAAGGTTAAAAGCTTGGAACGAGCGATCCTTCTCTTGCCTTCTGCCCACCCACCCAAACCGGCTGGCAAAGGTGACTGACATTTCTGACTCGCTCCCTGTATCTCTTTGATTGGTCTCACTCTTCAACGTATAATGCAAAATTAATACTTTGACCCTTGGCTACTGATAGCTAGTTACCATCACAAAGTGTGCAAAATCCCCTGTAATTTCAGGGGGTTTTGTGTTGCAATGACTTTTAGATACACCTTGTCTACAACGACGGATTTTTGCAGAGGAGCGCTGGGCAGCAGTACCGTTCCCCTGGGAACCAGGCTGGCCTGGGTGCGTCTGGCTTGAGAACGGCCTGCAGAGGTCTAGTTCGGGCCTCCCTTAAAGTAGGGGGCTGTACAGTCTGGCTCTTCCTTTTCATCTTGACTTAAAACTTAGGAAATTCAGTTTATGTAAGCGAAGCGACCTGAAAATTCCATTGCTGCATCTGATAATCAGAATTTAAAACTTTTCTAATTTTGGATTTAATTTAAAGGTTGGATATTAGTAACAACAGCAGTCCAGTTGCACTGCTTACTCCATCTTTGTTCAGTGGAAATCCAGTTCCTGAGTTCGCTTTAAGAGCCAAAACATTAAGAAAATGCTGCAGATTTCCTGTGACTTAACAAATCTCGTTTCAATTCTATTTCTTATTATAATGTTCAATCCAACAGTCTCACAAGAGAACTGCAATATATTCTTTTGGTTGACAGTTATTATTAAGTATTTTTAAACAGCTTTAACATAATCACATTAACACTTACTACGTTATGAGTTAAAGGTGCTGCACACAGGTAGCCAACATTGATGTATATATTATAAATCTTAGTCTGAAAAATTCCTGCCTGGCTTCAAGCAGAATGAAGTTAGTGACAATACTTCTGTGACAAACCAGAAATACTTGCAACTGTACTATCGTCCTCTAAAAGTACTTTGTTAGGGTTCTGCTTCCAAAGCAAGTGTAACCCACAACAGAAACCCCGGGGGTTACCAAAAATTAAAATCGGTAAAGTCAACTGGACGTACGTAAACTACCTGTGTAATAAACCTTTGAGAAGCGTTTCACAAACAACATTGTTAGTGTGTGATGTGATGTTTAAATCAGACCACAGTGGTCCCCAACTTCTATGTACGTATGTTCAGTGCTGGACTAACTTTTTTATTTACACCAGCAGTTTCACAGGAATTATGATTTCTTGACTGAATTTATGCTCCACTCATCAGCCGCTGTGTGCATGTGTAAGAACACGTTTGCTTTCTGCCCTGCGTGTACGCAACACAGGTGACAACACGGCTGAGAGCAGGTACAGGCTGAAGTGTTTTCTGTGGTGGCAGGCAATTACAAAACTGGCTTGGGTAGGCGTTGATTTCCTACATCTCGCCTTTGCTGTGCTTTGGCAAGTACGTACGTATCCGCGTAGTGTTAATTTGTTCATTACAAAGCATCATCAAAAGAAGACCTGGTCAGCACTGCCTCCCTTTCATCCACTATACATTTGCTCCATTATTTATCCATTCGTCTGGACAAGAACCTGTGGTAACTGTATGGCTCGTTCAGTTTGCCGCGTGATCTCACTGATTTGGTCTGATCCTCCTCCAAGAGAAGTCTCCTAGGCAAATTAACAGCTGTGTAGGGGCATGTTAAAAGAAACAGATTACTTAAGGCTGGAGTTCAACCAATTTTTCTTTACTATGCAAAGATGGGTATTGCACAAACAAATTTAAGACAAATGTCTGAGGAAATGCCATAGAATACTTGAAGTTATGTTTGAAGCCTAATCAGTCATGGTTTATATTCGTTATTGCTTCCACTGTTACTCTTCCTTTTAAAAATGTTTTGTAATTATTTTTTTAAGTGCACAACTTGATGTTATAAATCAGTTTTTGTTTGAAGTTAATACTCATTCATATCTTGTTGGCTGCTAATGAATGGAAATTCAATAGTCCTTGTTCTGCATCTTAGCAAGATGAGTATTAAAAACGTCATGAACATGGAATGGAGTAGTTTTTAGTTTTCAATCATTTTTTCCTTATTTATTCTCCATTTTATTTAATGTCTGTGTTCAAGATATCACCACCTTGATAGCAGTGGAAATTGACTGGAGTTTTCTTTTATTGAAGATCTCTTGCAGGGAGGCTCTGTCAGCGAGAGGACGTTGCACGCGGGCTGAGCAGACAGCCGGGAGGCGGCCTGCTGGGCCTGCTGCCGTCCCGTCCGCTGGCTTCACTCAGTTGAGTGAATGAGCCCTGTGTGCACTGGTTGGTTGAGGGAAGCCTTTTGCAGTTCAAAAGTCTGAATTATATAATTGCAAAAAGCCTGAAATGATGTAATTATTTAAAAAATAGTTTGAAGGCCTCACAATAACCAAATAATACGGTCATCATTTTAATGGATTACTGAATGAAGCTCAGTTTCCCGTTTTGGTTTTTTGCCAGACTAACTCTAGTAAAGCCAGCTTGGGAAAACTAAATGCATGCATGACACAGTTACCAAATAACTACGGAGAGTTTTTTTGCTCTCTCCAGCTCCAGACAGGGAAACGAAACACACTTTTGTCTTAATCTCTCCCAGGGTTATGTATGAAAGCATGCTTCTTGTTTAGAACTATAGACTGAGGGAACACCCTCATTAACGCATCCACTATCGTCCACTTCTATTTCCTGTCATTTGAATATAGGAGGCTTTAGCCATAAACTCAATATGAACGTGCAACGTTTTGGCTATAATTATAGTAGACAGTCATTCCTAAAACAGGAGTTAAGCCTTTTGCAGTGTATGAATGCAAAAGCAATATATAGATAATGCCTATCTGCTTTTGATTTTACAAGAAAAATTCTTAAAATTGTTTTTGAAAACTTTCACAATTACAGCATGAAATACTGAAGAGTGATCTTGCTGGGGCACTTAATAGTAAGAACAAAACCAACACAACACAACAGCAAGTCGTGTTGTACAAACCCCAAACTCCTCTTTTGTTCCAAATGCACTTACTACAGCTTCCTGCCTACAAGAGCTGAAGAATTAATTTAACGTGAATCATCCCTCCGCAATACAATAAAGACTGGTTAAGTGCCCTCAGAAAGCTTGAAGAAAAAAATTAAGTAACTAACTAGGAATTTTAGTAGTAGCGATGCTCAAACCAACGCTATTGAAAGCAAAAGGTCACAAAGACATTATCTTAAAGCTGCGCACGCTACAATTCCATTCAGAGATTTATTGTTCAGAACTTAGCGAGCACAGCAGCACACCTTCACATTTTTGTAGGTTTGTTAAGTTATTTAATGGAAGCGTGTAGCGCAGGAGGACGCATGGCTTCTAGGTAGGTACAAGGACTCCCCATCAGACCAGCACAGACGTCCACTTAACGTGTATTATTTCTGAGCAACCACGAACTGCTGAAGGTGGCACAGTTCAGAATGCTCTAATTTGTAGAAACCCAGTAATTGGGTGTCAGTTTATCTGTTCTTGTTACAATTTTCTTTTAAAAGAGCTTGTTTTTGTCATAAGTCACAGGATGCTCCTCCTCTTTACCACTAACAGTGTAACAGGCCATG